CTGGAACTTTATGGTAAACTTCTAAATGATGTGAGTTTAGTTAATCCCTTTGAAAACTGGCTCCGTGGACACCATTCCGCGTAATGTAGCCGGTACTTCCATTCCATCGTTGCTGAAAATGCTACAGGATGAATGGGACAGTGTGATGTTGAATAGTTTCTCACTTCGCCAGCAACTGCAGACAGCTAGACAAGAACTCTCACATTCCCTCTATCAGGTGAGCGTAAGCTTCAAATTGTACTCGTACTGTTGTTGCATTGCTTTTTGGGCATGGGATCAATCGTAGTCTGACTCTGAGGTCTTTGTTTCTTCCTTTTTTTGTGAAGCTAACATGCAATGAGATTACTCGCACTTGCTTATTCGTTTTATCAACGAAATAGCAGATGGGCTGACATCAGCTGATTGACCCTAGAAGTCACTATTGAAGGCAGCGCCCCTCAATTGGTGGGTATCGTATTCTACACTTTGCACTGGCGAACCCCTCAACTAACTTGCTAGTGAAGTTTGGGGGGAAAAAACGCTTCTATCTGGGAAGCCTAAAATCTACTCAGGAAGACTTTCGGACTCCGCCCCCTCGTTCCAGATCCCACCCTACAGGTATTATCCAGCGAACGCAGGCATGTCGAAAAAGCACATTCTCGCCATTTTTATGCGCTGCAAAACTCAGATATAGTTTTAACATGCCGAAAAGGCTCCGAAAAGGGAAGAATTCTCAAATAAAGTATAAATATGGTGTTTCAATCCGCTTATCGTGACCACTGTGAGCCCAGAGAAAACCACCAAGAGTTCAAATTCCTATAGTAAAAGTCATCACTCGTCAAATGACTCGTGGGGCTGAGGTCTAGTAAGATCTACGATTTTTCACTTCTGGGTTAACATTGTGAAATAGCGCCTAATGTGTGTAATGAATTTCATACCGAATCTTTTTATTGTCATGCACTCTTTCTGCAGTTTTTTTTTGTAAAAGTGCAAAGAAGATACCTTATCTTTAGCATGACGCCGCCTGTAGAGTCATTGCTCGTCTTACCAAAGAGTTGACGGCTGCACGTGAAGCCTTGTCTACATTGAAACCACACGCTGCGAATATCCCACACGGTGCAGGAGACATCGACATGGAACAAAGTGTTGACGAAGCACAAGGTTGGTGAAAAACTCAAGGCAAAGTTTACGTGCGAAATTTTTTTTAGGCATATCTGAGGCGGTCCTAGCTCGTCTTGATGAGAAGGCGAAGACTTTGACGGCTGCTCGTAAGCAACGTGGTAAGAATCTCCCGGAAGAATTGACGAAACAGGATGAGTTTGCTACATTCCGTGAATCTGCTTGTCATACTGGAATACACAGCACTGGTACCCCCGGGATTACTGCGTTGGATGTGCAGGTGTGAAATTTTTTCTTGAAAAAAATTTTTTTTGTTGAATGAGCATCGCACTGCTTAGGGTAAAATGATTCTAACCGGAGGAGCTGATAAGACTGTCGTATTGTTTAACTCCGAGAAAGAGCAGGTGCAAGATGTTTTCAAAGGACACCAGAAGAAAATCAACGCTGTCATATTGCATCCTAACTCCAAAAACGCCATTTCTGCCAGTTCTGATGCTCAGGTTAGTGTTACCCTTTGAT